GTTCCCGGTACCGTAGAAAAATCAAAAAAAAAAAAAAAAAAAATATTGTGGGTTGAGGTATATTCATTTTCCTACAAATGACTCGTTTATTTTTCTTTACAGCAGAGTAGTACTCCACTGAATGTGGATACCACATTTTCTTCATCCATTCATGTGTTGATGTACATATGGGCCACTTCCAAGATTTAACTAGAGTGTGCTGCTGTAAATATGGATATGCATGTGTCACTGTAATATGATGTCTTTACCTCTTTGAAGATACCTAAAAGGGGAATAGCTGGATCCAGTGGAATTTGGAATTGAGGAATCTCCATACTGATTTCTATAGTGGTTGTACTGTCTCACATTCCCACCAACAATGCAGAACAGTTCCTCTCCTCTCCCACCCCTCAGCCTCACCAGCATTTATTTGGTTTCTTCATGTTAGCCATTCTTTCTGGGGTAAGAGAATTTCTGGGTTGTTTTAGGTTGCATTTCTCTAATAGTCAATGATGCTGAACATTTTTTCATGCAGTTGTTGGCCATTTGTACTTCTGAAAAATGTCTATTCATTTCAGTTGCCCATTTTTTCAATGGGGTCTTTTATTTTGGGAGGTCTAATTTTTTTCTAGTTCCTTATACTGTATATTCTTATATGTTTTCTCTCCTAGATAGCTGCTATTTAGACAGACAACTGGTACACTGCCATTTAACTTTGTATATAAAAAAGGAACCTAAAAACTATAAGATAGAGGGAGAATACAAGTTTATAGGTCCAGTTAGTAGACAGGTTAGGTTAGGTTAGGTTAGGTTACATTACGTTACATTACGTTAAATGAAATTGTAAGAAGAGTAGTTTGTATAAGGGAAAAGTATATCTGACTCAGCTTTGGAAAGCTTTAATCTGGGTATGAAGGATATCAGTAGATGGGGAAAAAAAGGGTATCAGTAGATGGAATTTAGTTTTCTGTTTGTTTGATTTTACAGATTTTTGATAAAGGTTCACATCTGAAGCCTTGGATGGGAATATTTGGAATGTCAGAGGAATGCTGGAATATGTGAGAAAAAGTAGTAGGAAGAGAGTTGGAAATAACAGGTAAGGACTAGATGTGGCAGGCATTTGTGTTGTCTCTCAAGGATTTTGCGAATGCCATGCAATTTATTGCTGCAGAGGAGCTGATGCTTGTGAGGATGGACTGTAATGGAATGAAGGTGGAAAAATCACAACCACACAGAGAGCTACAGTAATATGTACTGCTGGAGTAGCAGCAGCAGCAGTGTGAAATGTTCAATCCAGGATGAGTAAATCCAAGATAATGACTTGGCTGTGTGGCTGAGAAGGAATCAAGGGTGACTTAAGTTTTTTTGCCCCAGCCCCTGCCTGAATACCATCCCTGCTCGCCCTTGTCTCTGGGAGCAGGAGTTGCTTCCTGGAAGTTATTTTGAAGCAAGGAGATTAGTTAGGTACCACAGTCATCCTGGAAAGATGAAAGGGACTCTACCTGGGCAGAGGGTACAGGTAGGGACAAACATTCCGATGGCAAACATTCCAGACGTGGGAGACATTTAGGAGGTAGACGTTGCCACTTCGGAGAACAGGTTATTTACTAAGATTGAACATAGCTTGCGCCTGCCTGGCAAGCGCAAGGTCGTGAGTTCAGTTCCTGGTACCGGAGAAAAACCAAAAAAAAAAAAAAAAAAAAAAAGATTGAACATAGCTTGATCTTTCCCACAGTAAATCCACTTGTTGCTACAAACCCTAGAACAGGAACTGCCTGAGCCGTGTCAGTTGTGTTGTGTTTTGTTTTTGAGACAAATTGTTGCCTAGGCTGGCCTTGAACTCAGGGTTCTTCCACCTCTATCTCCAAGTGGCTGGGATTACAGGTGGGTGCCAGTGTATCTGCCTTAAGGCCTGTTGTTTTCTTGTTTTTCTCCAAAGACCTAAAAATGTTTCTTCATGTTTTTAAAGAATTATACAGAGGGAGGCAGGAATATGAAATAGAAACCATATATGCCCCTCAGAACCTAAAATACTTACTACGCAATCCTTTCCAGTGCAGTGCACCAACCATTAGAGAGCCGCAGGGGCAACAGGCAAGAACTTGTGTGAAATGCCAGTTCTCAGGCTCCAGCTTAGAGCTGCTGAACCGCGGGCTCTGGGAGGCTCGTTTGAACGTGCTTTCTAGGCACTGGAGGTGCGTGAGGTGTGAGACCCACAAGCCTTCCATCCCTGTGCACCAGAGTGCGAAGCGACCAGTGTTTACCACTGCACTGCACAAGACAGCCCCAACCCAGAAACAGCGAACATTTTAGCAACAGATTATGTAAATCGTGATTAATACAATGGGATATTCTAGATACTTAGAGGTTAGGGCATGCTTGAAATGCATAGTCCCTGCATATCCTTGAGTAAGACTTGACCTCTGTAAGCCTGTTTCCTCATGTGTAATTCGGGCATAAAAAACTACACCGTTTATCAGGTTATTGTGAGGCTTAAGCTATTCCATAAATAATCTTAAGAATGCCTGGCACATAAGTATCATATTTAAAAGGCACTCTACCTGTAACTGCTTTAAGGAAAACCGTCTCTGGTTCATTTAATAAAAGCGATAGTGTACAAAATTACTAAGCAATCTAAAGTCTAGATTTTGGCAGCCCAAACGTTGGCCTTGCCTTTGTAAACCTGTTTTTACATTTGTAAGACACGTTAAATTGCCCTTACAGGCTTGTGAAGAAAACTGATGACATGAGTCCACGTCCTGTTGGTACAAACAATAAAATAAACCTTTTTTTCTCTTCCATATGATCTTCCATTTATCCCAAGGCCTCGGAAGTCGCAGAGCCGTCCCAACATTCTTCTGCTACTTTGATATTCTCTGAGAACACTTCTAGGCCTAAAGGTCAAAGTGACATCTTTGCCAAGATTTGGCTTTTCCCACAAGTCAAGGTCAGGCGCCGGTGATACCATAGGTGGACCTGGACCCGGGACGCGGCTGTAACCCCGGCATGCAGGTTGCTCAGGGTGCCCGGGCCAGGCGAGGTACCTAGGGTCACACGAAGCATCGGCAGTCCTCTGTCCGCGAAGCCGTGTCGTGGCTTTCCCGCCGCCCAGGGCCGAACTACCGCAGGCCCGGGATGCACAGTGCTGTGAACGATTCGGATGACCTGATCCTCCGTGCCCCGGAACGGTTGCTAAAGCACAGGTGACGGCCCAACTGCGCACACCCTGCGCAGCGCCGCCAGCGACCCCGCGCGCGCTCTCCGAGGCCCGGGGAGCGCCGCTGCGCAGGAGCGCGGCGCCGCGCGGGCGGGCGGGGCGGTAACGACCGCCCCTGTGACGTCAGATCAGCGCATTCGCCGGCCGCAGCCCGGTTCTGGCGCCCGGCTTTCCGGCGCGGTCCGCGAGCGCGGCGGCGCACTGCGCGTGCTCTGCGCAGGGACGCGAGGAGGTTGGGTCCGGAGCTCAAAGGAGATGCGTGATTGGCTGGCGCCGTGCTGGGGGGTTCCCTGGCCCTTTCGGCAGGGGTAAAACAATAAGGGGGCGGCGGCCAAAGGGGCGGGACGTCCGTGTTCCTGTTCGGTGGCCGCAACGCCGGGCGCCCGCGGAGCGGTGGTTGTGAGCGAAAGGATCTCACGGCTCTGCGTCTCCCGAGGCTTTAGGTTTGTTCTGAGAGAGAGGCAGTGAGCGAGGAGAATCCGCGGCGGCCCGTCCTCTGCGACTCTTTGGCTGCGCCCCGCACGACGCACCCGCCGCGGTTGTTGGCTGGAGGTGTGTACGGGGGCGGGCGGGCGGGGAGGCCGGTGTGGTGGCCGGTAGGGGACATTCCGTGCGCGCCCGCGGCAACCGTCCGGCGCGCGAGCGCGGAGACTGGGGCTACAGCGGGAGACATTGTTCTCGCTGGCTGCGTACGCCAAGTGTGCGTGGAAAAGCCTAGCCTGTCCTCCAAGGTGAAGGGCGGGTGCGCGCGGCCGGGCGGAGGGCGCAAGGCTCCGGTGAGCCGGGGTTGCAGGGGACGGGCGGCCCGAGGAGCGCGCCGGAGGCTCGGTGCGGGGCAGGCTTTCCGGGTCCGGAGAGTGCGGCGCGGCTGCCACCGGGACGCGATCGCCGCCCCGCCCGTGGGGGAGGGGAGCGCGGCAGGAGCGACGCGGATGCGAAAGTCGCGGCCTCCGGGCACCATTTCTGCACCGGAAACCGGATCCGGCGCGGACGCCGCGGCGTCGGCCGGCGCTCGGCTCCCGGCGCCTTCGCGTCCCAGCCCCGGCTTCGCCCGAGCGCGCTGCGGTTCGGGTGGGACCTGCGCCGCCCTGGCCTCTCGAGGCAGCAGGTCCCCCGCGGACCCGGGGGCGAGGTTTAAGGAGCTCTGTGGGATGGTTATCTAGCTCTGCTTTCCTGTAGGGGAGGGAAACGGAAAGGAGCCTAAGCTCTCCTCGACTGTGTGCATTTTGATGGTCGGATCTGATCGGTTTTTCCCTGAGTTTTTAAAAGCAGATTTCTTAAGGCGGCCCTGTGCTGCTTTGGGGCGAATAGATTTGTGCCTACACTTTTCCGCATGAATCACCTCCGCACCCCGGTGTAGCCAGCATTTTAGTGAAGTTTGCGGAGAGAGGTACCTTTGCCCTTTCCAAAAAACGAAAACAAAACACAGGCACCCGAACTAGAATACCAGAGTTGTTCCCTTCGTTTTGTCCTGCGGTATTGTGTTACTAAGGGGTCAAGGCACTCGAGTGTCTTTAAGGCTGGAGATCCTCCTACTATTCTCCAGCCCTTAGCGCTGCGGTACCTGGGTCTGGGAGCCAGTAACTGCACTGGAGTGGAAGACGATGGTGTTTCCTTCCCCGCTCCATATTTGGCAGTTTAGGCCTGTGAACAAAGTTTCGGAGTGAACAGTGGGCCACACCAAATCTGGTGGTCTTTTTGTTTCTCAAGACTTTTCTTCTTAAAAAGGGGGGGGCGGTATTCCGTTTGAACCTTAGGGCTGAATTGGGTGTTGTTTCTTTGGTGCTGTTACCTTTTCCCCCCCCCGCCCCCATATTTTTAGGGTTAGTCCTGTGTGTGCTTGCGTTGTGATTTAATCTCTACAGGTGGTTTAGCTCTGAAAAATTCAGGACGTCATAGGGATGCTTGCTGTCTTAGCTATCTAGGTTGAGGTTGTTGAATGCTCGGATACGCGGGTCGCAGAGTGAACCCGCACAGGCATCAGCAGTGGAGTGAAGCAGGGTGTCCGTGCACCAGATGGGCTCAGACGCGACCGTTGAAGGACAAAGTCATTGGTAACTTAATGAGCAGCTTGATGACTGAGCTGAGTGTTGGGCAGTTGGATCGTCGCTAGGCAGCTCCTGGTTTGAGCGAAGTGTTGATGAGCGACACATCAGAGTTTCGGTATCAGTTATTGGAAATGCGTACTCATGTTTTTAGATCTTAACAGCTTATGCATAATTGTTGCTACTTATGCTGCATTGTGAGGATTGAGAATTACTTCCCAAGTTGCTTCAGAAAGACTTTTCCACATATTTTGAGTGGGTAAGGAAGACAGTGGCACAAATTGAAGGGCAGCTTCTGGGTTTAAATAGAATTTAAATGACAAACCTGTGCTCTAGTTTCTCTTTATTGGAATACACTTGTTTAATAGCTAATGAAACAAATAGATTCTTCCAGAATCCCTAGCAGCAGAATCAGTTTTTTGAGCTTCCCCTTATTTTTGTCTTCTACTTTCTAGGTATTTTGTCCTGTTTTGATACCATAGGTATATTGGGAATGATGCTTGTACTTCCTTCTGTGTTACTATGCCAGTATATTCCTTTGCTTTCATACGCCCAAGTGTTTCAAATAAGCTAAAAGTTGGATTTTTAAAATTGATTTATTGTAATCTTGATTGTTTGGCTTTTCTTCCAAAGAGATTCTTAACTAGATGGACCTAACTAAGACATGTAGGAGGCCCAATTTCAAGTTCTTTCTTAAAACTACAACTGAGGTACCTCGAGCTCCTTTTCCTTAGGCTCTAAATACATTTTCTTTTCTGTAATGATCCTAATGTATCTGTTTCAAGGAGATGAAGGAAACAGGTTGTTAGACTTTAAAGCATAATATAAATACGTGCTTTTTATTTTTGTGGAGCAGCTCTTCTATCTGTCTTTCTCTCTCGGTGCCTATCTGGAGAGGGGGCAGAGAGAGACCCTGAGAGAGAGGGAGACCCCGAGACCGAGACCAGCTTTTGCTGTTGCCCAGGCTGGTTTCCACCTCCGGGCTCAAGCAATCCTATTAACTCGGCCTCCTGAGAAGCTATAGGTGCTGGATGGGGCCCAGGATTTCATTTCCATGTGTAATAGTGAATTTCACAACTTGCCGCCTTACCTGTGTGACCTGAAAAAAGCGGAACTTAAGTCTTGACTTCATTTCATTTTTATCACCGTTATTTCATCTAACACGTTGGTGGTCACTGCTGCACAAACGTGGAGCACTGTTATGATTGTTAAGTCACTGTAGACAGAGGCCATCAGGAGCTTAAAGGAGTTCCAGCGTTGATAGGGGCTGGCACTCCAAAATGAATGTGGCTCAGTGAGAATGGGCCTTGGCCCCACTGATGTGAGTCCAGAGGTGCACCTCTCCAGGAGGAACAGGAGGAAGCTTTGAAGATGAGTCCTAGCGCAAGTATAGTGTTCCATACCATGTTTTGTGGTAAAGAGAAATAGTAGAAGTAAGGTCTAGAAGTCATTGTGTTTTGACTTTTTTTTTTTTTTTTTTTGAACCTTTGTGGGAAAAGGTGGACCTGGGGATTGAATCCAGCTATATACCAGCCCAGGCGCATCCCTCTTAGAGCTTGAGATGACACTTCACTAAATTGTCCAGGCTGTCTTTGAACTTGTGATCCTCCTGTCTCAGCTCCACAGTAGCCAGGATTAGAGGTGTGTGTCACCATGACAGCAAGGCTTTTTAATAAGAAAATGTGATTTTTTAAAAATCAATCTTCATTTCAGCCGTTTTCTCCAAGCATTGAAATAACCGCCAAAGAGTGACATGTGATGAGTGAATTTTTTCCTGTTTGTCTTGATGCCATAAATTTGAATGTCCCTTTGCCAAAACGCTTGGGACTAGAAGTATTTAGATTTCAGAGTTTAGGGAGTTCGGCATATTTGCACAGGCTTTACCAGCTAAACGTTTGTAATCTGAGAGTTGGAAAACGTAGCAATCTGAAACTTGGGTTGCGGTGCTTGTGGCCAGGTATTTGAAGTTAAGCCTAACCATTTTACCATTACATGGTAATGGAGAAGTCCCTTTAATAAGAACGTGGAGATAGATGGTCCTATCTCAGAGCTCTCTAAAATTAATGAGAATTGACAGAACCCAAAGTTCCTTTGTTTGGATCGTTTGTCTTTTCTATTGTAAAATGTTCTGATACGCATCGTGCTATCTGTAAATGGTTTAACTTAATTTGATTCTTTGGCCTTGTGTTAGTGAAATCATATCTTGATTGTAACTTTTACACTTTTTCAGTGTTTTCTGATAGGATCTTGTAGTCTTTGATACCATTTCAATGACTGCGTATGAACCATAAAAGATGTTTCAGTTTACTATTTGGAAACCATAAAGTAGGAGAGTGCTTAAGATCTAGGCAGTTTTTCTATAGCTGACTTTTGATGTTGCTATGTTATTTAGGCTGGTTTTGAACTCACGTGGCCCAGGCTGGCCTTGCACTCACTGTAATCCTTCTACCTCAGCCTCCCAAGTGCTGGGATTATAGCAGTTCCACCATGATTTTAACCAGGGTGTTCATTTCAGCTTTCTCGATTTTAATCTTCATTTGTTTGGTAATATTTAGCACATGCAGACTTAACCATTGAGTAATATTTTGTCAGCACTATTGTCATTAATGTGGACATAACATCAGTGAGTATATTTTAGTTATGCTACCCATAGTAGTACTGTGTTAATTTTCACATGTTTCCTCTCCAGTGGGGATGGAACCCAGGGCTTCAAGCATGTGCTCTACCAGTGAGTTACATCCCAAGCCCAGATCCTTTTTTCTAGAACTGTATTTGCTAACCACTAGCATGAATCGGGGAATTTACCAGAAACCAAATGAAATTGAATAATATCTTAAAATGTACGTTAATACATGCTTTTTGTCGTGTTCATACAATACAGTAAGAATTTACGTAGACTCTACCTTCTGCCTGTAACTTAAACTTTGTTTCTGTAACATGCCTGTTTACAAAAGATGAGATTTGTATTATTGTTCTACAGTTGTGGTTATGCTTAACTTTGTGGATATTCTTGTCGATGTCAATAATTCTGAACCATTTTGTATATTTTTAAAGAATACAGAATGTATAATTAATTTAAATAAAACTGCTGATGCTTGTACTTCTAGTGCTCTAGGAGGCTAAAGCAAGAGGATATCAAATTTGAGCCCAGCTTGGACAAATTAGTGACTTACTGAGACCTTGCTTCAAAATAAAAAAGGGCTAGGATGTAGCTCAGTGTGGATGCCTTGGGTTCATCCCTAATACTGCCCCCCCCCAAAAAAAAAACCCAAAACCTGCCAGATTACAATCTGGAACAGCCTATAGCAATCCCTACTTCCATCAGAACTGTCCATGAAAGAGCCCATTTCCCGCACACACCCTTGACAGTACCAGGTATTACTGTTTTCATTTTTAATCTGATAGGTGGAATGTGTCTTTGAATAAATTCATCTTTTTGAACTGTGAATACTGATTACAGGGTACTGGGTTTTTCTTTAAATACTTGATATGCAGTAGATTATTCATAAATGTTGGCGGAATGATTGACATAATGAAGTCAAAAGTGTGTTGCTAAACTTTTTTAAATTGAGGTACAACAATGAATTGTAAAAACCACTCTTATGCACAGTTGTATGACTTTGGGCAGACATGTATAGTCTGAACACCACCAAAATCAAGCTTGAAGATACTCCATCACCCCAGAAGTTCCCTCGGACTCCGGTCCTTAACTTTGCTATCATCTCCAAGTCTTCATCTGGTTGCCCTCTTGCATAGTGTCTTATCAGGAGAATTCTATTCCTTAGCCTTTTGTGTCTGATTTCTTCAGCTTACAGTAATGCTTTTGAAGTTAATCCATGTTGTTACAAGTGTTACTTGTTCTATTGTAGTGTAGTGCTATACTTTACTGATTTAGTATCAATTGTTTATTTACCTGATTAACAGACAGTTGGATTATTTCCAGCTTGGGGGTATTTATATTAAACACCATGAAGGTCTTTGAATACAGTGCTTTCTTTTTTTTTTTTTTTTTAATTTTAAAGAATAAAAGAAGGATAACATAATAATAGGGGGGACTTAGCAAATTACAGACAAAATGGTAGGAAATTATCAATGGTTATCGTTTTACATATTATTATCTACAAAATAGTTTCTCAGGAAAACAAATAAACAAATAATAGTTAGAGACAAAAGAGGTAGGAGATTATCAAGAGTTGTTGTGCTATACTTTGGTATCTTCAAAGAGGCTTCTAAAGAAAATAAATAGAGCTATACATGAGTGACCTATTGAAAAATCATTAACTATTCTCAATGGTTGTTGTAGGAAACACATAATAATAAACATACATTATGAAATAGGATAGGAACATTACAAACTTAACACAATTATGGATAGATTAGTAGGAAAATATCAATGGCTGCTGTAATACGTGGTGGTATCTTCAAAGTGGTTTCTCAGGAAGACAGAGATATGCAAGAAGGATCTAATAAGTAGTTACAGCCTAAGGGTTGTCAAAAATAGCATATTACCTCCTCACCAGTGACTCCTTTCACTGAGGTATGATGGCTGGAAGGCCAGGATTGAAAAGAAGGACCGAGAGACTTGCACCTGTGACTAGCAACAGGCTGTTTTCTTGTTCCTCCATAGTCATGATTACCCAGGACTCCTCGATGGAGATGACGGTCCGGCCAGAGGGAGAAGGCAGACCATGCCCCAAGCCCTCTCATTCCTGTTGGGCTAACTGATAGCATGGGTCTGAGCTCTGGGGCCTCCACCTCAGAGGGCAGACTGATCTCCAGTGGTCTCCTTTGCATGCAAGGCATGGCCCATAGGGCCTCTTAGGGCAGTTCCTCTTGAGATGGCCTGGCTTTTAACAGTGGTAGCCGATGAATGCAGTTGTCGAGTTCTTCTTGGAGCCCCAGGAATCAGACCTGGGATCTGTTTCTCTTAGTGGTGCAGCAAAAGCAGCTGCTTTTTCTCAGTCTCTTTGTTTTCTCTCCTTGGCCTCTTCCTCATCATGGCTATAGAATACTGAGGAGTCAATTCTTACTAACATCTCAAGTGAGCTATCTGGGGTGAAAGCCATTCTTTGTAACTTTTTCTCTCCAGGTTCCCTTTGCTTTGGGACCCCACAACCAGTTAGTGTCCTCTCCCCAACTGTCAGCACAGGCAGCAGAAATTGAATACAGTGCTTTCATTTGTGCTGGGTAAATGCATTGGTGTGGGATTAATGGGTAATACCAGTTGTTCTTAATTTTATAAGAAACTACTGTACTGTTTTTCAAAGTGTGTTGGTTTTTTTTCCTAGCAGCTATTCTCCATCCTTGGCCAAGTACTAGTGTTTTTAGATTTGTCATGTTAGCGATTATTGCAGGTGGTTGTATTATGTCATTGTGGTTGTACTGCCTTTCTTTTTAATGATTAGAGATTGTGTTCATCTTTTCATGTATTTTATCTTGGTGAAGGGTATGAGGTGTGATCAAAAAATAAGGTGACAGTTTAATTTTTTTTAAGTTTGCTACAGTAAAGACATATTGCCACTAATCCTTCACAAAATACAGGCGCCCCCCCCCCAACACTCTTGTTTGCTGCTTTCTGAAGCAGTTTTGGAAGTCCTGTTTCTTAAGTGTCTTCAGTTGTGCTGTTATAAGTACCTAAATGTCCTGAAGGAATTCAAAACGTTTACTTTTTACAGTCAATTGACTTCGTTGTAGAGCCTGATCCAGAGAATGAAGCGGATGAGAGGGGCTGGGGATTTAGCTCAGCGGCACAG